ATTGTAATTACGAAGCAATAAGATGCTTATCTTAACATACTAAGTAGGTTAGGTAAGGTCGGTGTTTTCTATGAAGCTTTTCAAGGGAAACTATTATGTTAAGTATGTCACCTATGCACATATTTAATAAGTCAATGTTGACTTATTAAATTTGCGAGAACGGGTTGTATATATATATATATATATATATATATATATATATATATATATATATATATATATATATATATTATTAAATATGACCGAAAAAGTAAGATTAATAATTTTAACACGAATTTTCTCAATCTTTCGTACATTATGCTTCCTCCGAAGAGACAACTAACACAACACCTATACCCCCTATTAGACTATTTTACAGGAACTTCTTTTCCACAGCTCATAAAACAGAGGAAAGGGTCCTGAAAGATATTGTTAATAGAAACGTTATCCCTACAGACAAAAATCAGAGGATACAACTGACGATTTACTATAAAACCAGAAAAACGGCCAGCCTACTCATGAGAAACTCTCCAGACACGAAACAGAACGCTTTAAAAGAGACTAACGTCGTCTATGCCTTCAAATGCCCACTTGGGGACTGTAAGCTCCAAAAAACCCAGTATATAGGCAAGACAACAACATCTCTTTCTAGGCGTTTAACGATGCATAAACAACAGGGCTCCATTAAGGAACATATAATCTCTTCCCATAACCAAACCATCGCCAGAGAAATCCTAGTAAACAACACAGAAATCATCGATAGATACAGCGATAGCAGGCGGCTTGACGTTTGCGAGGCACTACACATCAAGAAGTCAACACCAGCAATCAACAGCCAATTATTGCACAACTATATTCTACCCACCTCAAGACTCCGCTCCAATATAGAAGCATCAAGAAATATGGACCAATAGGCTTTCTACAAACACTTCTATTCAATACCCATTGTTTCTGTTCTGTCTTGTGTTGATACTTTTAATACCCTATTAATATCCTCTAGTGTTCTGTCTTGTGTTAATGCCACATCATCCTTCCCACCTCACTCAAATGTAATGCCACATCACCCTTCCCACCTCACTCAAATGTAGATATAAAATCAGGGAAACGCAAGTTCTAATCAGTTGTGTATTTGTGAAGTCTTTGAAAATGTAATAAGTTTTACGAAACGCGCCCGTGTCGCGTCAGACTAGAAATAAAAATGAATTTTGGAGAAGTGATTTTTGATTTACCTCCAACAGTGAAGCATAATGTACGAAAGATTGAGAAAATTCGTGTTAAAATTATTAATCTTACTTTTTCGGTCATATTTAATAATATATGTCTACAGGAAAGACTGCTACCAAAATATACTAATATATATATATATATATATATATATATGTATATATATATAAACTCCTAAAGTTTCAATTTACCATTTTATTATTAAAATTATATGGGAATTATTTCCTGCAGGAGACGAGAGTAGTGACCTGACCCGAGCAGGTCCAGAGGCGGGAGTAGTGACCTGACCCGAGCAGGTCCAGAGGCGGGAGTAGTGACCTGACCCGAGCAGGTCCAGAGGCGGGAGTAGTGACCTGACCCGAGCAGGTCCAGAGGCAAGAGTAGTGACCTGACCCGAGCAGGTCCAGAGGCAAGAGTAGTGACCTGACCCGAGCAGGTCCAGAGGCGGCAGTAGTGACCTGACCCGAGCAGATCCAGAGACGGGAGTAGTGACCTGACCCGAGCCGGTCCAGAAGCGGGCGTAGTGACCTAACCCGAGCAGGTCCAGAGGCAAGAGTAGTGACCTGACCCGAGCAGGTCCAGAGGCACGAGTAGTGACCTGACCCGAGCAGGTCCAGAGGCGGCAGTAGTGACCTGACCCGAGCAGGTCCAGAGGCAAGAGTAGTGACCTGACCCGAGCTGGTCCAGAGGCGGGAGTATTGACCTGACCCGAGCAGGTCCAGAGGCGGGAGTAGTGACCTGACCCGAGCAGGTCCAGAGGCAAGAGTAGTGACCTGACCCGAGCAGGTCCAGAGGCAAGAGTAGTGACCTGACCCGAGCAGGTCCAGAGGCAAGAGTAGTGACCTGACCCGAGCAGGTCCAGAGGCAAGAGTAGTGACCTGACCCGAGCAGGTCCAGAGGCAGGAGTAGTGACCAGACCCGAGCAGATCAACAATAACCAGACGAGCGAGAATCAAACAATTCATTACAATTAATTTGTTCTCAATATTGTTCGATTAAATCGATTCGTTAATATCTCAACGTTGTGTAATCAAGTTTGATCTTTTCATCTGTGTAGCAATATTGACAGATGCAACACTGTGCTGGTGGGGTACACCGTTGGCGTTCTCTCACGCTGTATCTAATACTTCCATTGCAACATTATTGCAACATTATTCATCACTTAATAAACTGTCAACGGAATCACAGTTCTTCCTTTTGCAGCGTTGATGCTTATGTTATAACAGAACTGCAGTATGTTGTATAATACACGATTATCTTGTATAATACAAGATTACAGTCATAATGGTGTATAATACACCGCAGCAGTCATTATGTTGTATAATACACCACTGTAGTCATTATCTTGCATAATAGGACAACTATATATATATTATGTTGAATAATACACCTCTGCAGTCATCGCATTGTATAATACACGACTGCAGCTATTACCTTGAATAATAAACTACTATTGTCATTATGTTGTATAATGCCCAGCTAAAATCATTATATTGTGAATACTCGACTACAGTTATTTTGTTGTATAATACAAGACTGCACTATTTTCTAGCGTAGCAGACTACATTAGACTTTATGTTGTATAATAAACCGATATAGTTCAATCGTATAATACACTATTGAAGTTATTATATTGAATAATACAAGACTGAAGTCATTATTTTGAATAATACGTGACTGCAAGGATTATGCTGTATAATACATTACGTTATATATTATACATTATAATACATTATGTTGTATAATACAGCAATCATTATCTCTCTAAAAAAGAAGATTGTATTGATGTGTCTGTCTATGGTTGGAGGTCAGAGGCGTGGAACTAACCTCACCCATCTTTTACACGTGACACATAAGGGGTGTGGGAGTGTCATAGTCCAGTCAGGGTGGCCCTCAGTGCCACAGTATAGGATATATCGACACCAATACCAAACCGACCGTTCAATTTCCACAAAGTCTGAAATATTGTTTGAGCAGACTTATTTCGCTGTTTCACTCTTTTGTGTGTGTCAGTCTCCCTCTCCCAGATAACATCAGTTATCTGGGAGAGAGAGAGACTGACACACACACACACAGACCCCGGACACTGCCGGGTACCCCCATGGAGTGTGTACTTATCTATCAGTGCCTACTGGAGAGTCAGGTATAGCTCTTTATGACCCGCCTACTGGCCTTGTACCTGTTGCGTTTCGATATATATATATATATATATATATATATATATATATATATATATATATATATATATATATATATATATATATATATATATATATATATATATATATTTATTCTGACTTTCAAATTCCTTGTTAATTTTGTCCTTAAAATTGGGGATGTCGGCGGGTTGTGCAACATCATCTTTTATAATTTAGAGCATTTCACCTGTTAACTACCTGTGAGCACAGAGGGTTGACCTGTTGACACTATGAGTACTTTCTTCCATTCCTTCGGCTCATTTTAGTTCCAATCTTTCATCTGTGTTCTCTTGTTCTATTGTCTCTCAGTCTAAAAATTCTATCCTGGCCCATCTTATCTATTCGCCATAGTATCTTGTATGTTGCAACCATATCCCCTTTGTTCTTCTGTCATCTAGGGTTCCAGTCAGTTCCATTACCCTATCCTATAATTACCCTATAATTGTACCCTATAATTATATGGCTATGATGGTTAAAGATGGTTATTGCTTAACCCTCTTTGCTTTGGCACCAATCTTGTTGTAAATCTTTATACATTTCCAGACTGGGATTCATGTCATGGCATGCCAATGAAACGTATTCCAGTATTTGTCTAACAATTGTTGTGAAGATTGCCTTGTAGGAGTTTATACTTAGGTTTCTAAATGATGTTATCCTGTTTATGTAGGTCTCAGGTGTGAGTTAGAATTATATCCACTCCCAATTCCTTCACTCATTGTGATTCTTGAAGCGGCCTTTTCCTTACGGAGTAGATGCACTCAGGTCTCCTCTCTTCCTTTTCCATCTACATTACCTTACATTTTTTAGGACTGAATTCTAGTAACCATTTGTTTGACTACTACTGGAGTTTGTCAAGGTCCTCCTTTAACTTCCTGCAGTCCTCATCTGTTTTTATGTTCCTCATCAGTTTTGCATCATCAGCAAACATTGACATGTCTGGTCTCACTCTTTCGCACGGGTCATTCACAAGAAATATGAACAGCAGTGGTCACAGGACAGAGCCTTGTGGGACCCCCACTTGTTACATTCCTCTCCTTTCTGACTATCACCCTTTGCTCTCTTCCCTTCACATACTGTCATACCTGGTTGTAGTCATACTGTCATACCATATATATTGGCTATATATATTTTTCAAGATATTTCAGGCTGCTTCTATATCTTGTTCCAGGAATGTTTCATGGGGGAACAATGTCAAATGCTTCTAGACATTCAAGAAAAATACAGTCTACCCAGTGTTCATTTCCTGTCTTATTTTAGCAACCTTGTCATAGAACTCAATCAAGTTTATCAGTAATGACTTTCCAATTCTAAAACCATATCATTTTGTTGTCACCTGGTCTCGCACCGTCTTTTTCTCCTATATGGCTATAGTACACCTTAAGTTGTTTCTTAGTTTTAGCATCAACATAGTTTCAAATTTGTCTTTAGCTTCTCTCCTAACTCAGTTGCGAAATCATTTCTGTTTCTCTTTGGTGTCTCTGTTGTTATATGTTAAAAGTTCTTTGTACTTTTGTCAGGTTTTTTATTATTGTTTACCTCCCCTGCATTGTCTATTGAGCCTGAGGTTTACTTTGCTTTTTCTCACCCAGTCGTGTAACATCATAACCCTCTGTGCTTCCACGGAGCACAGAGGGTTGGCTTTCCCGGAGCACAGAGGGTTGGCTTTCCTGGAGCACAGACGGTTGGCGTCCCCGGAGCACAGAGGGTTGGCTTTCCTGGAGCACAGAGGGTTGGCTTTCCCGGAGCACAGAGGGTTGGCTTTCCCGGAGCACAGAGGATTGGCTTTCCTGGAGTACAGAGGGTTGGCTTTCCTGGAGCACAGAGGGTTGGCTTTCCCGGAGCACAGAGGGTTGGCTTTCCCGGAGCACAGAGGGTTAACTTTCCCGGAGAACAGAGGGTTGGCTTTCCTGGAGCACAGAGGGTTGGCTTTCCTGGAGCACAGAGGGTTGGCTTTCCCGGAGCACAGAGGGTTGGCTTTCCTGGAGCACAGAGGGTTGGCTTTCCTGGAGCACAGAGGATTGGCTTTCCTGGAGTACAGAGGGTTGGCTTTCCTGGAGCACAGAGGGTTGGCTTTCCTGGAGCACAGAGGGTTGGCTTTCCTGGAGCACAGAGGGTTGGCTTTCCTGGAGCACAGAGGGTTGGCTTTCCTGGAGCACAGAGGGTTGGCTTTCCTGGAGCACAGAGGGTTGGCTTTCCTGGAGCACAGAGGGTTGGCTTTCCTGGAGCACAGAGGGTTGGCTTTCCTGGAGCACAGAGGATTGGCTTTCCTGGAGTACAGAGGGTTGGCTTTCCCGGAGCACAGAGGGTTGGCGTCCCGGAGCACAGAGGATTGGCGTTCCTGGAGCACAGAGGGTTGGCTTTCCTGGAGCACAGAGGATTGGCTTTCCTGGAGCACAGAGGGTTGGCTTTCCTGGAGCACAGAGGATTGGCGTTCCTGGAGCACAGAGGGTTGGCTTTCCTGGAGCACAGAGGATTGGCGTTCCTGGAGCACAGAGGGTTGGCTTTCCCGGAGCACAGAGGATTGGCTTTCCTGGAGCACAGAGGGTTGGCGTCCCCGGAGCACAGACGGTTGGCGTCCCCGGAGCACAGAGGGTTGGCTTTCCTGGAGTACAGAGGGTTGGCTTTCCTGGAGCACAAAGGGTTGGCTTTCCCGGAGCACAGAGGGTTGGCTTTCCCGGAGCACAGAGGGTTGGCTTTCCCGGAGCACAGAGGGTTGGCTTTCCTAGAGTACAGAGGGTTGGCTTTCCTGGAGCACAGAGGGTTGGCTTTCCTGGAGCACAGAGGGTTGGCTTTCCTGGAGCACAGAGGGTTGGCTTTCCTAGAGTACAGAGGGTTGGCTTTCCTGGAGCACAGAGGGTTGGCTTTCCTGGAGCACAGAGGGTTGACTTTCCCAGAGCACAGAGGATTGGCTTTCCCGGAGCACAGAAGATTGGCTTTCCTGGAGCACAGAGGGTTGGCTTTCCTGGAGTACAGAGGGTTGGCTTTCCTGGAGTACAGAGGGTTGGCTTTCCTGGAGTACAGAGGGTTGGCTTTCCTGGAGCACAGA